CACAAAAACAAGCCTCCAAACTGGAAAAATCAAGAGAAAATTGGAAGAATAAAGAAGAAATCTTCCACAAATTCGTTCATTATTCAAAACTTTGAAAAAGATCAAGGCAACTTCAACATTGAAAACTCAGAAGAAAGATCGAGAAAATCTTCTGTAATATACAAACAAAATTATAGGTTTTTTTTAATGTATTTGGCTCCTAGTTTAATTAGTTCCCCAATTTTGTTATTTTAATATTGTTTAGTATTCTATTTGCATAGATTATGAAAGTAACAATCTTAATTATCAATTTCCACCTAAATAATTAACATTTATGAAGTTTCATTTTGCTGATTTTGTTGTTATGATTGGAAACACGTTTTAAAATAACATTGTTGAACTTCAGAGGAAAATGATTGTGTCAATACATATAAAAGATTAGTTTTGAATCAATTAAATCATTGATGCATGCAATGTGCTTGACAAAAGGAGAATGTGAATTCTATCACTTTTCTATATAAAAAAAGTTACATCATATCCTTGGAGCAATTAATTATACGCATACGTGTACATTTTTGAAAATTTGAACATTCTAATTCAAGCCATGTTTTTTGGTAATACATATTAAAAAGAAAACTCTGAATCAATTAAATTATTGATGCATGCAAGATATTTAACACAATGAGAATGTGAATTTTGTCACTTTCTATGAAAAAAATGATATTGTCACTTTTTTCAAAAAAAATCATAGTATCTCATTGTAACAATTAACTAGATGTATACATGTGTGTTTTCAAATTTTGAATGTACGAATTCAACCCCTATTTTATGTTAGTACGTATGAAAAAAGAAAAATTTTGAATCAATTACATCGATGCATGCAATGTGTTTGCTCAATGAAAATGTGAATTCTGTCATTTTTCAATGAAAAAGTTACATTGTCACTTTTCTCTAAAAAAAAGTTGTAATATCTCATTGGAGTAATGAACTAGATGCATATGTGTACATTTTTTAAAATTTAATATATGAATTCAAACCTTATTTTATATTAATACATATGAAAATCTGTGACTTTTTCATAATCATTAGAGTAATGAACTAGATGCATATGTGTGCATTTTTTAAAATTTAATATATGAATTCAAACATTATTTTATATTAATACATATTAAAATCTGTGACTTTTTCACAGTGTTTCATTGAAACAATTAATTAGATACATATATGTGTGTTTTTTGGAAATTTAAATATACTAATTGAAATCTTCTTTTAATCTTGCATTTAATTCATATTTATTTGAATCAATTCAATTGATGCATTCAAGGTGTTGCGAAAATCAGAGTGTGAAAAGTGATATTCTGTCACTNAATATACGAATTCAAACCTTATTTTAATATTACATTCAATTCATATATATATTTTTTGAATCAATTTAATTAATGCATCCAAGGTATTTGTGAAAGTGAAAATGTGAAAAAGTGACAATTTGAAAAAGTGACATTATTTGAAAAAGTCACAGTATCTTAGTGGAGCAATTAATTAGATGCATACGTATGTTTTTGAAAATTTAAATATATGAATTCAAACCTTATTTTAATCTTGCATTCAATTCATATTTATTTGAATCAATTCAATTGATATATTTAAGGTTTCGCAAAAATGAGAATGTGAAAAGTGAAAAAATGAGATATTTTTTTCTTTAAATTTCTGTTTTGGCGTTACTAGTTTTGGTCTATTTACGAGCTATTTTATTCTTTTGTCGAGAGAGGTTTTTGTTACCGTTTCAAGTATTCACGACAAATTTTGAAATACATATTTCGAATTTGAAAATCGATAAACGATGAATTCAAAATAACAAGTCAAAAATGCTGCAAGAAATGAAGTTAATAGTTAAGGTTTATTTTGCGTTCAATAATTCATGCAAAATATTTTTCGACATTTAAACTTCGTTTCTTAACATAGTTATCATGGCTATATTGCAAGCTTTCTAACATATTTTAAATCGCTCAAAATTGATAACCTTGGTAGAAAATACAATATCAAACGAAAACTTTTTAATAATAAAAAATTTAAAAAGTGAAAAATATCATATGTGAAGTGCAACCGTTAGTCTTTGGAACGATTTTACCGACTTTGAACTGTTTTATATTTTTAGTGGACATAATAAATATGGTTATTAAAACTTTAATTTGGTTTTAAGTGTATTAATCTATTTTATTTTATTATTATTATTTTTTTAGAGTATTGTGTCTAATTTCCTTTAAAACAGATCTAAACAACCTGAACCAAACTGGTACAAGCTCGGGGCTGACTAGGCCCAAAATCAGTCAATAAATGAAGCTCAATTACCATGATTCAGCAGTCCAATTCATTTGTATTTATAATATTGACACAAATAATACAAAAAAATAGCTATATAATTGTAGGTTTAAAATATTTGCATAACATTTTTGTAGATTTTGGTAATTAAAAGACAGATTATGCTTTGAAATGAAGACATGACTTCTCAAAACACGACATTTTTACATTTTTATTGTGAGTCGAGTATGAAGTCTTATAATTGTTAGATATAATCAAACAAATTCCTGAAGTACAAAAACTGTTTAATTTTCTTTAACTTTGTTTACTTTTTAACTCTTCGTTGTTGGGTTGAGTAACGTAATACCATTCCTTTTTTATGTCGCAACTTTTATACATACTAGTCATTTGCCCGTGCAATGCACATGCTGTGTTATTTTTTAGGTAATTCTAGTGTCTCGAATGTTAAGGATCAACGGGAAATATGTGCATTAAATGAGGTCAGCAAAATTAACTTAATTTGTCAAGTTTCGTATGATTTCACCCATTAAATATTGTTATGAAGCATCGCAAGAGTATGAAGAAATCAAAAAACTTCAAACAAGATCCAGATTGAATTTATCTTTACAACTGGTCACGTAAAAAATAAAACAAAGGGAAACGATACGTTGAGAGAAGTTACATAGAATAATTCTTGATGAGTGCAATCATCAATTGTTGCATCTATTTGTTTGTGTAATGCTTTCTGATCCTATTTTGTACAGAAAGGATTAATGAAACGAAGTAGAACAAATTATATTTATGCAAGTAAAATAAGGATTAAAATTATCTTTAAAGTGAATTTAAAGTTGTCATGCCAAAGCAGAAAGCAGAAATTACATGTAAGTGCAATAATACACCTTGAGGAAACGATGAGGTGATGAAACTTACGCAGCACAACATGAGAACAAGAATTACATGGTGAGAGGCAAGGAAACCATCTCACAGTTCATAACAAACTCAGACATAAAAGTTTTAAGGTAATCATCAAAAATGTAAATCATCATCTTTCAAGAATAGCCATTTAGTTACATATATGATTTTGCAAAATCACATTAATGCCAAAATTAATGTTATCCAAAAACGGCATATCCAAAAGTTACCACATTTTCACATTGACTGACTGCACTCTAGTTCTCATCCTTAGAATCATAGAGTCCGTCCATTCTCTCGGTCAATAGCCTCATATTGCTACAGTAACTTACACTCTATGCTGACTTCTAAGATATCCAATGTGAAAACATGGAAGAAGAAGGCAATGCAGGTGGTCACGCAGGAACTTCCGGTACAAATTTAATATTTCTTAACTACTTAAGCATAGCAAAAAAGGACTCAAAGCATAATTGTACTGTTAGCTTGCAGTATTGTAATAGCAATTAATAACCAATAAGAAACAATACATGAATTATATTTTCACTACAATATGATGAATTTAATGACACCTAAATTTAATTAATAAAATTTAAGTCACCAAACTATCCCCATCGTCATCATCAAAATTTGCAGTTTTTGCTCCTAGATCTTGAACTCCAACATGTTTTGTAACAAAGGAAACTTGAGTTCAATTGAAAACAGAAAGAGGTGAGGCAGGAAACAAACTCTCGAGTGAAATTGTCGTAGAGAGATAAAAAGAAAAGATGATATTACAGTATGAGAATATGTTAAGAATGTGTAGATATTTACAGTATCACCATAAAAAGTTATATGAGCCTAATATCTTGATTGTCCATAAATTGGTCATAGTTTATAATCTCTCAAATGCTTGTATTGTTTAATAAGCCAATTTATGCTGTGATTCTTATCAAGTGCAAATAGATCGTAGGAATAAGGAACCTAACCTTGAAAGTTTAATGTATGGAAGAATCACACAATTAAATAATGAGGAGATAAGAAAACAAGAGGAAGATTACATATATTGCTATCGTTATAATGAAAGAGGTGCATCTCAGGTTTGGATTGAATCTGACAAGTATAGCTAATTAGGTTTATCAATGGCAGATTAAGTACAATTTTCCTCTATGTTTCACCGGAATATCTTATGCTGTTTTCTAGGATTTCTAACATTCCTTGCATCCCAACTCATATAGGGTTAACATAAAGAATCATTAGTAAGCAACTAAATTTTACTTTTACTGGAAAGATCTTTGTGAATAAATATAGTGTAATGCTTACACTTTTTATGATAAAGTAGCGGATATGCCCCGACTACACTTCACTTATGAACGACGAAAGAAGAATTTGGAGGCCTACTGGTGATGAAGACAACAATGTAACAATAGGTTATAGACATCGACAAAGCATTGTATTCTGTTAAGGGAATATGGGTATTATGGGAATAATAGAATAAATTGTGAGTTAGAATAAATATGGGAGGGAGAGTAATTGCACGACATTTAGAAAATTAGAGAGTGTGGGAGAGAGCAAACTTCTTGAAAAAACTGGCATTACAAACTGAACTTTGATATTTCAATACAAGATTATGGTGCAAAAATGATGAATACACCATAATTGTTTAATAGATACCTGAATCCCCAAATGAAGTAAGTACAGAAATTTAGGATTCACTGTTCTAAACCTATGTCAATTGCATATAAATAAATATCAATATTTAAAATTGAACTGTCTGAGATATGCTTTCTCATACTGATTGCAAAAGTAGAGAAGCACTAACTTGTTGAATGGTATCAGTCCTTGTGAAAAATAAATTGCATATCCACGATTGTCCACCACACATTTAAGTGATTTGGATCAAATGCATCTTCAAATTTCAAAGAAATAACTGCAGTACTAAACACTGCATTTTGAGCAGTCTGCACAAGTTACCAATCTCATTTCAGTTGTATAAAGTGGGCACAAAAGAAACACACGTATAAACCCATAAAAAGTAGCATAATTTTCCTATTTGATAGTAATTATTGTTAAATACTACTATCTTGCATGTAAAGTTTGTACCATTATCTTATAATAAGAGGAGAGATGTGAATAGTGCATCATATATTTTGCTCCACCACAGTTGGCTTTATGGACGTTTTCTTTCAAAATCTCAATCTAGTCTCACGGATTGTGAGAAGATAATGTTTAGAAAATAAAATTATTTAGTTCTCATTCCAATTCAAAAGTACCATGAGAAACCCATAAGAATAGCCCAAACGGTGATAGACCAACAACCCCAAGGCCTGATACTCATAGCACCCTGGGGGTTATCTGACAAAGATTATATGACCAAGGATTGGTTCACACTGGGGATTGTATTATTGGTTCATGCCCACCAATGAGACTTCCTTAACACCCAGGTACATATGGAACACTAACCTTTCGAATTCATTGAAAATAAATCAGGGAACTTGCGCGTCTACTATAAAACAATTATCCTTTAAACTAATGTTCAATTGACTGCTATAAACTCTTAAGTGATATCTACATGCTTTAGTATAGCCTTGAGGCATGAGCACCACGAATTGTAGATTGGTTTAGAGTGGGCCTAAATGACATACTAAATAGATACTAACAGTGCGCTTATTGCTTATTGCAGGAACTGGGTATCGCATTTTGGATATGCTATTGAATGCTATCTTACCAGAGAGAGAAAAAAGATAATAAAATACAAGCTCAACCTTTACTGTCCCTATCTTTTCCATTTTTTGTTATTTGCTATACTAATGAATTCATTAGCCTGGAATTACATACGACAAAAACACTACCTGAAGAGCCTTTACTATGCCATATATTATTTCAGGTTCAATAAGAGGTTCATCACCCTGAATATTGACAACAATATCGTACTTGTTCCAAGCTTTTGATGTGCTTCATTACAATGCTCTATGCCTAGAAAATATTTAAAAGCAAAAAATTAGCAATATATCCAACCAACACAAGTTTCCATGATTCACGGTAGATTGAAGGACTTGTTTTACCATTTCGACATGATTCTGATGTCATTATCACATCCGCGCCAAATCCTCTATGGCATTCTGCAATCTAATCATCATTCGGACACAACTACATCAATAAATCATAATCCAATTAGAAACCACAAAACCCAAAAACTTTAACATAATTCTATTAATATCTTTCGATTTATAAATCGGCATATATAGAACAAAATGGAGTGGAGCTCTACCAACTTCATCCAACGAAGACGTTATTTTTGCCCTTTCCCGTGTTCTTTGTAATTAAGAATTGAAAGGTGAATAATCATATGTCCATAACATTGTAGTCTCCACTAACTATCCATTTCATTTTTCTAATTATCCTTTTAGGGGACACGTAAAATAAATAGCTTGATAAACCAATAAGGACAATAAATTCTATGTATTACAACAAAAATGCAAATGAATAAAATTCATGTGTACATGTGATCCAAAAGCTTAAGCCTATGTAAAGAAGCCACATTTAGTTATTTAAATTTGATCTTCAAAAGCCCCATGAATTCTTATTATTATCAACATATCACTTTACATGTGATCCAAAAGCTTAAGCCTTTGTAAAGTAGCCACATTTATTTATTTAAATTTGATCTTCAAAAGCCCCATGAATTCATTTTATTATCAACATATCACTTGCACGAGTTTCATAAATTGGTGGTGGCAAATATGAACCCAGGTGTTTGGTCTATCTCTATTACCATGTTAATTATCTCATCTAAATGTTTAAGGTGTAAGCAAATTACATTCACAAGTAGTGCAATAAAAAAGCCCGAATGATACTGGTTACAAATTTGACAGAGATAGCAAAGAAAAAATTATTTCAATTGAGCTTTAAATGAAGACGGATATAATAAAAGTACACGTGCACTGTCATTTATAGCAAATTCCAACTTAAAGGGCTTTCTGAGATTTCGAGAACCACGAGGTAAAACAATCTCCCAACTGCACAAGTATTAACAAGAGCTTCTTGCTAACATAAATAGTTAAATAATATTTAACTCCGTCAACAAAATATTACCACTTTTAATATCTCCATTTACCTTGAAAATTTAGTGCAAGTATGATAAACCCTGCATTAGATAATATATATAGTTTCAGCAAAATAAAAGAAGCAATCAGCAAGATGTTCATATTGTCAATTTTGGCATGTCTCAAAAAAATGACAATATCGCTAAATAAGTTATTCTCAAATTACCTACTAATTTAGCTTATTTTATACATCATGGGAACAAGTATCCTTACCTTTTGCACTTCAGTAAAAGAGGATTAGTATGGAAAAGCAGGTGATAATAATTAAACTCTAAAATAAAACATTCGTGCCAAGTCGCGATATATTTTAACCTTGGATGGTGAAGCATTTTCTCATGGACAAAATCGTTCCTTATTAACCAATAACAATTCCAGCATTTTTGAAGGACATGTTATACAAATCTATAGTAAAGATGTAAAAAGCTCGATTTTGAAATTTAACTAACTAAAATGATGATACCTTCAACGCCTCTCTGCAAATATATGCTATTTGATACTCCTCTAGAGGCTCCTCAATAACATTCATCAAGTCAACAACACTCCTACCCCCTACAATACTCCATTACAAACTGCCAACAAATACAAAATTCTCAGATATTTAAATTCAAGTGGAAAACTAACACTTGTTATCTGATTTAGAAACCAAGAGGGGGCACACATCACCATGGCCTCGGTACCGTCCACAAAGATAAAAATTATCATCAACTCGAAGGTCGATGATCTTCTTCATACTCGAAGATATTCTTCTCCTTCGTAGCTACCTAGATAGAGAACAACATTAGAATGACTACATTGCTGCAACATCTCAATTTCACCGCGAATTTCTTCATAACCATCCTCATGTAAATTTATGAGATTTCAAACTTCATATTCCATCCACTAAAGCTATATATTATTATATGCAATTAAAAGGAAGAATATAGTATGCACCCCTTTAGCTAATGATATCACCTTGATAGCAACCAATTTTAAAGTCCTTATATCTCGAGCCTCGTAGATTGCCCCATATGAATCCTTCCATGTTCATTGCCAAAAACAAAAATAAAAGATGCTTAAGCAAAATGCTTCTTACACCATTAGACATTGAACTAACAAATTTAATTCTATTACATAAATTTGATTATACTGAAAACTAAAATATGCCTCATATCATCATCTCTACTAATCTCCCTGGAACTAAAAAATTTTAAAAACAAACAGGTCAACAAACAAACCAAAAATTTTAATCTTCCACACACCATCATTAACGAAAATATCCTACTTATTTGCGGAACCCAATAAAAACCAACATCCAGGAGTCAACGAATTTAAGTTAAAAAAGAAACCCATTTACCAAAGAGGCCAAAATAGTACATTAATGGTGACATTTCCTTTAACTTTACTCGGAGTAGTAGTAGTCGAAGAATTGGTAGATGGATGATTGGTGGGCCAATGGTGGTGTTTAGGTGGCACAGCCAACGAAGACGGTGGCAGTGGAGGTGTTTGTCAAGAATGGAAAGGGGGGATTGTAGACTGGAAGTTCAAGAGTTTTTTTTTTAATGCTTTCGTTTGGTGTGCTAGAGAAGAAAGATAAATAAAGCCGATTGTGGTGTTTAGGTGGCACAACCGACGAAGACAGAGATAGTGAAGGTGTTTTCGGGGAACTGAAAGGGAGAGATTGTTTACTGGAAGTTCAAGGGTTTTTTTTTTGTGGGAGAGAGCAAACTTCTTGAAAGTTGGCATTTTATGCAACTCATTTTCATTTCTTGTTGTTCAATTCCTTTTGCTTTCAGTCGTTTCAAACAAAAAAAGGCTATTAATATCAATAAATTCAGTAGAATTTTACAAATATCAAACTATAGAATCAATTCTTCAACAATTGAATTTATTTTGGTTTCATGAGCTGTTGAGATCCATCATGAAATACAATAACACAATTGAGAATCTATAAATAGCTTTTTGTGTATTTTGATGTTCCTCAGAAAGTTCATTGGTTGGTGACCATGGGAGCTATTCTAGAATAGGATCATCATCTCTCTCTCTTTCCAGCTGGTATTATGTGTTACATTAAATTTTTGGTCTATTTTTCCAACAAGTGAATTTTATGCAAGTTATTTTAGTATTCTATGCGATACAAAAATACCAATTCTCATATACAAACTTAATTTGGCTGCAAGAGGTCAGAAAAAAATAATCATGTTTATGTTTTGCTAGGCAGCCATAATTTTTCTTTTCGTCGATGACAACATGACATTTAACGGTTTAATACTTTATTCGAAAAAATATTAACCAATCTTACCTAAAAAAACACAGAGAAGGACGTTGTCGCAGGATTAGTAAATTGAATAAAATAAAAATAAAAATTACCTTTTGCAAAGGAGAGCATAGCGCTAGCATGAATGCATGTAACAAGCGAAACCCTACAAATGAAAAATAAAAAATCTTAAGTTCAGTAAGTTTCACAATTGAATGTGATAATTTACACAAGATTCAAACTTTACTATTGCTATTCAAACAAGGCCTTCTAATTTCAAACCTGCAAAGTGGAAATCGAGAAATTCTAGCACAATCGGGAAAAAAAATAAATCTATACAACAAGAGGTGTGGTGTAGAGGAGAAAAAATGGCATTACAAACTGAACTTTGATATTTCAATACAAGATTATGGTGCAAAAATGATGAATACACCGTAATTGTTTAATAGATACCTGAATCCCCAAATGAAGTAAGTACGGAAATTCAGGATTCACCGTTCCAAACCTATGTCAATTGCATATAGATAAATATCAATATTTAAAATTGAAGTGTATGAGATATGCTTTCTTACACTGATTGCAAAAGTAGAGAAGCACTAACTTGTTGAATGGTATCAGACCTTGTGAAAAATAAATTGCATATCCACGATTGTCCACCACACATTTAAGTGATTTGGATCAAATGCATCTTCAAATTTCAAGGAAATAACTGCAGTACTAAACACTGCATTTTGAGCAGTCTGCACAAGTTACCAATCTCATTTCAGTTGTATAAAGTGGGCACTAAAGAAACACGCGTATAAACCCATAAAAAGTAGCATAATTTTCCTATTTGATAATAATTCTTGTTAAATACTACTATCTTGCTTGTAAAGTTTGTACCATTATCTTATAATAAGAGGAGAGATGTGAATAGTGCATCATATATTTTGCTCCACCACAGTTAGCTTTATAGACGTTTTCTTTCAAAATCTCAATCTAGTCTTACGGATTATGAGAAGATAATGTTTAGAAAATAAAATTATTAAGTTCTCATTCCAATTCAAAAGTACCATGAGAAACCCATAAGAATAGCCCAAATAGTGATAGACCAACAACCCCAAGGCCTGATACTCATGGCACCCTGAGGGTTATCTGACAAAGATTATATGATCAAGAATTGGTTCCCACTGGGGATTGTATTATTGGTTCATGCCCACCAATGAGACTTCCTTAACACCCAGGTACATATGGAACGCTAACCTTTCAAATTCATTGAAAATAAATCAGGGAACTTGCGCGTCTACTATAAAACAATTATCCTTTAAACTAATGTTCAATTGACTGCTATAAACTCTTAAGTGGTATCTACATGCTTTAGTATAGCCTTGAGGCATGAGCACCACGAATTGTAGATTGGTTTAGAGTGGGCCTAAATGACATACTAAGTAGACACTAACAGTGCACTTATTGCTTATTGCAGTAACTGGGTATCGCATTTTGGATATGCTATTGAATGCTATCTTACTAGAGAGAGAGAAAAAAGATAATAAAATACAAGCTCAACCTTTACTGTCCCTATCTTTTCCATTTTTTGTTATTTGCTATACTAATGAATTCATTAGCCAGGAATTACATACGACAAAAACACTACCTGAAGAGCCTTTACTATGCCATATATTATTTCAGGTTCAATAAGAGGTTCATCACCCTGAATATTGACAGCAATATCGTACTTGTTCCAAGCTTTCGATGTGCTTCATTACAATGCTCTATGCCTAGAAAATATATAAAAGCAAAAAATTAGCAATATATCCAACCAACACAAGTTTCCATGATTCAAGGTAGATTGAAGGGCTTATTTTACCATTTAGACATGATTCTGATGTCATTATCACATCCGAGCCAAATCCTCTACAGGATTCTGCAATCTAATCATCATTCAGGCACAACTACATCAATAAATCATAATCCAATTAGAAACCACAAAACCCAAAAACTTTAACATAATTCTATTAATATCTTTCGATTTATAAATCAGCATATATAGAACAAAATGGAGTGGAGCTCTGCCAACTTCATCCAACGACGACGTTATTTTTGCCCTTTCCCACGTTCTTTGTAATTAAGAATTGAAAGGTGAATAATCATATGTCCATAACATTGTAGTCTCCACTAACTAAATATCCCTTTCATTTTTCTAATTATCATTTTAGGGGACACGTAAAATAAATAGCTTGATAAACCAATGACAATAAATTCTATGTATTACAACAAAAATGCAAATGAATAAAATTCATGTGCACATGTGATCCAAAAGCTTAAGCCTTTGTAAAGTAGCCACATTTATTTATTTAAATTTGATCTTCAAAAGCCCCATGAATTCATTTTATTATCAACATATCACTTGCACGAGTTTCATAAATTGGTGGTGGAAAATATAAACCCAGGTGTTTGGCCTATCTCTATTACCATGTTAATCTCATCTAAATGTTTAAGGTGTAAGCAAACTACATTCACAAATAGTGCAATAAAAAAGCCCGAATGATACTTGTTACAAATTTGACAGAGATAGCAAAGAAAAAATTATTTCAATTGAGTTTTAAATGAAGACGGACATAATAAAAGTACATGTGCACTGACATTTATAGCAAGTTCCAACTTAAAGGGCTTTCTAAGATTTCGAGAACCCAAGGTAAAACAATCACCCAACTGCACAAGTATTAACAAGAGCTTCTTGATAACATAAATAGTTAAATAATATTTAACTCAGTCAACAAAATATTACCACTTTTAATACCTCCATGTACCTTGAAAATTTAGTGCAAGTATGATAAACCCTGCATTAGATAATATATATAGTTTCAGCAAAATAAAAGAAGCAGTCAGCAAGATGCCCATATTGTCAATTTTGGCATGTCCCAACATAATGACAATATCGCTAAATAAGTTCTTCTCAAATTACCCACTAATTTAGCTTATTTTATACATCATGGGAACAAGTATCCTTACCTTTTGCACTTCAGTAAAAGAGGATTAGTATG